AATACAACAAAGTATATCGTTTACATGTAGCGCATCAATTCTGCATGTTATGTAAACTCTCGCTTGCTCTCGCTCTTTGCGCGTGAGAGAAAGCGACGGCGAGTCGTGCGCCTTCACACTAGAGTTTGTGTTACGCCAAATACACAAACACAGGTGCGCTGCACATCCATTCAAATGAACTGAAAAATATCACAGATCGCTTGACGAAGAGTGAAACTCTGAAGTGCTCAGTCAGAGTGTTCTGTGAGTGAAAATATATCTGTGCTAATCATATACTCAGCCTCCAACTCACACACTGGCAAGTAAAATCTGCGAATTTATTAGCCATTGGCTAATATTAGACATCATTTCGTCGCCCAGAGTGAAGATTTAGTCGCATATGCGAGTGATTTACTCGCAATGTAGAAGGTTGGGTTGGTATGGTTTTTTAAAAAGATCTTAATGTCTCTTATGCTCACCAAGGCTATATTTATTTGATGAAAAATCAAATAAGAGAAATTATTTTCTCTAATTTAAATTACACTGGAGAAATATCATTATTTAAAATAACTTTTTGAATATTCTTTGAATTTTCAGCATCATTACTCCGGTCTTCAGTGTCCGATTTTTGATCCTTCAAAAATCATTCTAATATGCTGATTTACTGCAAAAAAACATTATTATTAATGTTGTAAACAGTTGTGCTACTTAATATTTTTGTGGAAACATGACACTTTTATTAAATTTCATTCTTTAATATAGAAAATTCGAATGGACAGCATTTATTCGAAATCTATTTATAAATTTTTATCACTGCCACTTTTTAGAAATATAGGCTAATACAACTTGTTGAATAAAGGTTCTCATTTCTAAACAAAAGAATTGATCTGACTCAAGCTTTTGAACGGTAGTGTACATTGTGTAAATAATTGTTAAACTAAACTAAACAAATAAATAACTAAGTTAAAACTGTTCTAGGATGGGCAAAGAAAATTTAGCCCTGTAAATCTGTGACCAAGGCAAAGGTGCAGAGTCAAGCGCTGTGGTGCTCAGTGCCAGTATGTGTGCGTTTTTCTCACCGATGCGGCATGGGCATAAGTGCCAGCAGCAGCAGAAGCGTAGCTGTGTGTGTGTGTCCGGGTGGCGTGCTGCTGAGAGTTGGTGAACACCAGGCTCTGGGTGAGAGTGTCAGGGGACGACGGCTCCAATCCAGACAGCTCAGAGTCACCCTCAGCCACCTTAGACAACAGAGAGCCGAGAACCATCCTGAGGAGTTGAAAAAAAACAAAAAAAAACTTTCAGACAACTACAAAAGAGGCCACTGCTCTATGATGCAAAACATCAGATTCATTTTTGATGGGGTTCTGCCCTATTGCTTCCACAACATAGGAAGCAGGAAGTGAGGATGTTCCAGGAGCGCACTTGCATATGTCTGCTAATCTGTTTCTGCTTGTAAGGCTGTTTGCTTTTTTGACTTCAATTGCTAAACATAAGTCATAAATTAACGAGACAGGGAGGGGAATCATACCTGAATGCTTGCCAAATATTTTGGAGCACTCAGGTAGACTAATGTGTCTAAACTTGCTCTTCAGAACTGCTTGTTGAACATGTAATAGAGCACAGTTTTAGCACTTGCTTACACTACTGGATAACAAAAACTGAGTTGAGTTGAATGACACTTTTGTTTACTGTAGAGCTGCTTTATAGCTGAATTGCATTCGTTTATAATTAATGAATGAAGCAGCAAATGAACTGATTTAACACTGAGCTAAATAACATTATTGCCTTCTCTAGAGCTGTATACAGCTGAATCAAACATGTTTCATAATTGATGAACTTTACACAGTAACTGAACTGAACTAAACCAACACTGTATTAAGTTGAATGACACCATTACCTTTTAGAGATGCTTTATAGCAGAATTTCATATTTCGTTAAGTTTTCATCATTTATTTATTCTGTTACTTTCCTATTTATTAGTGTGAACTAGCCAAACCAGGCTCTTTGCCATGTAGTGGTCACGACAAATTAAATCAAAGGTCAGCATGTTTGGTCAGGAGTTGTGTCATCAGTTACTTGCAACTCCTCAAATAAAATTCATACAAAAGGCACCAAGCCAGCTGATTAGTATAAACAAGTTGTACAAGCAATAACTAATATGTCTGGCAGAGTAATAACAAGTAATTCCATTGTAATCCTAGATGTGCCACTTAAAAGCAAATAAAGAAAACTACTATCAATGTATTACTTCAAAATATAAATAAATGACTTCTCAAATGGCTAAGTAGATTAATTTGGCTAAATAACAATTAAATGCAGTCACTGTAGCAGTGTTAATTTTGACAGCAAATGTTGATTTAGTCATAGTCTTTTGACTAAAATGCCATTTAGTTTTAGTCATATTTTAGTCATCTGAATTGTTTTAGTTTGTCTAGTTTTAGTCAACTAAATATCATAAGATTTTAGTCGACTAAATCTATGGTAGATTAAGTCAGCTATAATCTAATGGGTTTAGTTACAGTGCATTTATTAAGCATTTCTCTAAAATTTCCAAACTCATTATATAGGTTTAATATTAAGGTTTTATCATGCAATATAGAGACAGATTTAACTGCTGTGACACACAACATGCCTTTATATTAAAATTAAATAAAACCACTTCTCATAAAGAAACAAGAACATGATACTCCTTTCAATTAAATGGTTATATAATATTCATTATTTATAACAACTAACACAAACCACATTCTTCATTATTTCAAGCAGACATATTTATACAAATAAATTTAGATTAATCCTTATTAGGGCTACAAAAGTCATTCAGTCAAGTGCAGTGAGTGATTTTCTCATTAACATTAATGACACATACATAGCTAAAAATCAATATATACCTTTAAAATCGAATGCACAGGTGCATTATACTGATAAACATCCGATATCCTACTAACGGTTTACTTTCACTTAAGACGTAACCGAGTGTGTTTACGTGAATACTCGTCAAAGCGGACACTTCAACATCATTTTGTGTGTATTTCTCTATTCATGTGACGCGAAAGAGAACTGAATTCAGTACTCGTGTCATGTGCTGTCTGAGAGGCGCTTTTCTGTGTTCGTGATTCAGGTGCAGTGTTTCCCCTGCCATTATATTAGGGGGGCGGCCCGTCCCCTCAACGGCACCCCCCGCCCCCCTTGAAGGTCAAGTTAATTTTATTTAATATTTTATCTATAGCGCCAGATCACAACAGAAGTCATTTAAAGTTACCTTTCCGATAGAACAGGTCTATAACCTTGTTCTTTTATTAAACAAACTAAATAGCCTTATGTTATTTATCTTATTTACACGACGGCATGTCATTTCGGTCTCTACGTTATGGTCGCACTCTCTGAATCACGCACAGCGGAGTTCCACCCCGATGCGCGCGCCCGCACACACACACACACACACACACACACTCACACGTGCGCGCACACACACAAGTGAGCACGCTCCCACTCCCACTAGTATTTGTAAATATTAAGCCGCAAAACGACTATTTAAATATGAATTCGTGTCTCTGTGTTAATGAATGGCAGACGTGCGGTTTTGTTTACCACGTGTACTGAAGCGCGCGTGATGCTTGCGGTGATTTTAGCGTCTGCCTTCTCACTAAATGAGGACATAAATACATGAACATCTCCAGAACTGCACTGAGAGTCACTTCATGAGCATTTGACCATTTCATTAGAGTAAAACTTTCCTCATATCATATACACACAGAAATGTAAATGTATTCACGGCAACCCGTCAAAATAAAAGTTTGGTTTAACTTGAAGGCATTGCGGCAGAAATATATTATTGTTCAATAGAATGTAAGTAATAGGCTGCTACTACTAAAATGATTAAAACCTTATTTTTAAAGAATAATCATACAATATTTATTCAATGTTTTAATTGTAATATTAAATGACCTTTATTTTCCAAAAAATAACATTTGTTTAATTTTCATTACTTAAAAGATAGATTAAATTAATATTTTATTCCTTAATGTAAATACACAACACAGAATTGCGGAGCAAAAAATCATAAGGCTATTGTAAGAATAAATTAAACTTGTTTTTATGCTTTCAAATAATTAGACATGCTAAAACAGAATTTGGTAACAATAAAACATTAGGTTGGAAAAAATAAAATTTCATAGGGCCCTAAACATGTAATTTTTGTTAACCTTTTAATAAATTGATGTTAAATTGTTTAGGTTTCATGATTTTAATTAATTAGACATGCTTTTTTATTAATAAAATTTAATTTAACCATTAAAAAGGAGTCCAGAAACCCCCTCCCAAAGCCGTAAACCTAGAGGAAACACAGCAGGTGTGTGCGCATGCTCAGAAAACCAGACCGAACTAAGTCCTCTTTTGCATCGTCATGCTTTTCAAATTTATCCACATGTCTGCTCTTCTCTTACTCCCAGATATTGACATTTTTGAATGTTTTATGAGACGTGCAGCAAATGTGTGCTAGCTTATGTCCCGCCGGAGAGATCAATAGGCTGTTACAGTTCAAATGTTCGCATCTAACCTCCTAACCACGCAGGAGATCCGACTGGATCTTTTCCCAAATCGTCACACCCTAACATTTGTCTCGTTTCCATTTTTTGACGAAAATGTCAATTAATTTTCGTCATAGTTTGTCATTCAAAACAAGTTTTTATTTTCTTATTCTCATTTTCGTCTGTGGAAAAATGTCTTTGACAAATTATTCGTCAATGAAATTAACACTGCACTGCAGTTAAATATATAAATGAATGTTGAATTAAGTTAAATAAAATAAAAAAATTTAATCATCAACTTTAACTACTTAAAATTACAAAACACTTTTCTATCAATTTGCAAACAAGTTTAAAAATTGGCTGCTCCCATGTGTGAACTACCCAGTGGCATTTATTTTAACTCGATTGACAAATGGCTAAATAAAAGCATCTGGTAAATGACAAAGGCAGTTGACAAATCAAATGAACAAATTTAAAACTTGATATTAAGGTAATATTTTGTTAAATTTAACTTGTTTATTTTTGTCAATTTTAAGTAATAGTAAAATTACTTTTAAAGCTACATTTTGAATGAAATTACTTCTATTTGAATTAATATATTTTTTAATGAAATGAATTTCTTTATTTTTTAAGTGGCACTCCTAGTCGTCCGTACATCCGAGCTCTGTGCTAGAAAGTGTTGAAGCATAGGAAGCACTCACCCCTGTCCAGGCTGCACGCAGTTCTTGGAGCCAAGCGCATAAGAAGCAGTGAACACTTTGGTCTCAGATAGCTGATAAATGGAGAAGCGAGCGTTACACACTGACATCTCTTGATCAAGTTTTCCAGTTTCATTTTAACATTCATGAGATCACTCACATCTTCATTCCAGTCTTCGGCCACCCAATCTTCCAGACTGTCCTTCCAGGCTCCTAAAAGCACAGGTGAGTTAAAGATAAAATTATGTTTTGCAGTGGGTTATATTAAGAAATTCATAAACACTGGTTACAGATTATGCTCATTTACATAATCAACTGTGCTTTATGGTTTGAGGATGATCCGCACTACAAAAATCTGATCAGAGATGAGCATTTCGAGCTCTATACAGAGCTGTATGAAATCGATACTACTAAAAACCGGCTCACCTGACATCGATACCAGACTGAAAATGGCTTCAGATATGATTAAGTGCAAAGTATAAGAGAACCAACTTCTGCCCTATTAAAGAAACGGTGTTCAGGATCCAGATCAATAAATGGCACTCACCTGCTCCTTCAGTAGTCTCATTTCCAGCCTCCCCTGCCTCAACAGAGCCGGTGTAGTCAGCAGGGTTAAACGTCCTACTGGTCAAAGAGAAGCCAACAAAGGGGGAGTGAGAATAACGACCAAGAAAGAGTTTTTTGGAATGGGCACAGAGATATTTCTCACTGAAGGAGTGTTTGATGGGTTTGGAAAGACAAAAGTGTGAATATTCACCCCATTCCCTGAGAGAGCCTGCTCATTCCAGCTCCTCTGCCTCTTCCTCGGCTTACTACACCTGAGGCAACACACCAGCATAAATAACAATAAGAACAAATGAAAATATAAAGGAAAAGTTCAGCCAAAAACAAATATGTATTTACTAGTCCTTGTGCCTTTCTAAACCAATATTACTATGCCATTACTCTTTATGGTCAGAACATGACAAACACTTCACGTTCTTGAATTCTTTACACCTTCTAGGGCTGGACAATAATTCAATATCAATATGTATCGCGATATAATTTTTTTCAATAACGGTGATATGATTTTTAAACACATTTCCGATATTTCGATATACATTACCAGTTTCCCATACATTG